ACCTCCCTTTCTTCATGTGTTCAATACTTTTTCCCTGTGCCATTCTACATTATTACAAATAACTTCATTTCTGTGCATTTATGGTTTGATTTCTTTGTATGTATGGATCACTTGGGTTGTTACCAACATCTGGTGAAAATTTCATGTCATTAGCACCTCTAGTCATACTGTATATATACTGAGAAAAATGGTGACGTGTTCAATACTTATTTTACCCGCTGTATTTACATCTAAAGTTGCAATGTGTCCTATCATCTGTATGCTGATGACAAACAATTGTATTGTTCCTGACGAACCTCCGAGATCTAAACTGTTTGACCTCAAAAACCGACTGCAGTTAAATGCAAACACGACTGAGACTCAATATTGCCCCGAGGATAAAATCCCTTTAATCAGGCAGCATCTTGCTAGTGAAAGGTGCAATATAATTAAAGTTTACTTACATACGTCTGTGTCAGAGTCACAAACCAAAGATCTGAAATTCTTTATTTGGWAACAATTCAAATGGCAAACAACAGAAAATTAAAAGACAATAAATTGGGCAAAGAAACTAATTTTGACTCACAAGCCAAAATGTTAGCAACAACAATTAAATAAATAGTTTTATTCAGGCTGAATCCGTTTTAAGCAACATTCCTCTGGATACTGAGAGTGTAAATCAGTAGCTTTATCACGATACAATATTATATTGATTTGTTTGGAGTATCACAAAGTCTGTCATGTTTCACTTCATGTCATATGCCCATCTAACAATGATTTAGTAAATTATTGTTAGACAGGCGACGAATTGATGCTTTTGTTTTACCTTTATATAATGGAATTATTAATCATTTAATCGATATATCGGTGTATATTGTCACAACTGGCTACACAAACCTTTTAAATGAAAAATACATGCTAATTTTATAAAAATAGTTTCCCACACGGTTTTGAGATTTATTATGCAATTCAATTCAAATCAGTTTATTTATTTAGCTCCAGGTCACAACATGCGTCGTCTCAGTGCACTGTACACGAAAAAATAAATAAAAAATCTTGTTCGTCTCTTTAAATCTCAGAAACCTGAGCTGTAATCCTCACACCGTCTGTTAGACCAGAGGTTCACAAACTGGGGRTCACTGGACCCCCAGGGATCTGCGAGAGGCATCTTGGGGGTCCTCAAAAATTTTTACTAAAAGGTTAATTTGGTTTTTATTTTTGAAAATGCATGGAGAACAATGAACTAATAAAATAAACATAATAAACTTAAGAAAATATATATTCACATGGCATTTATGGGTTGAAATGACAATAAATTATTTTTTTAAAACAGCATGGGGTTTATGAGGGGGTCCCTGGAATTTTTTTCACCCTTGTAAGGGGTCCCCAGACCCAAATGGCTTGAGAACCCCTGTGTTAGTCTGAAGGTGCAGCTCTTTGTGTCGTCAGCAGCAGGTCGCGGGGGYAGAGGGGTGACAGGGTGGAGCTGCGAGGACTAAAGAGACGAGTGTGGACATCCCTGGCCTCTGGCTACAGTCGGGCTTTTATAGAAACAAGCCCACCTCTGAGATCAAGACTCCCCCCGTGGAGAACAGGACTCACGTTGGGCGATATTAAGGGCAGCTGCGGTAAAAACATGTAAAAAAAAATGCTCCCTGTGATTTCTGTCTCTGTTCAGGGTTGTGTGCAAAGCTCACAGGGTGAAATAAGATGATGTTTGTGTGGATCAAAGGTAGGAGCAGAGAAATAGTGCAGATCTGAGGGGGAAATGTGCTGATGTGCTGTTGATGCTGCTCTGGGATGGATTACAGCCTCTTCAGCAGCAGCAGCTTTTCTGCAGGACTCGTCTCTCCTGGATGCCGTTTAGCTAAGCGCTGCGAGGATTTGGACG